CAGGAGACCGCTGAATGGAAAAAAAGCGCTGGGGATTGAGAGAGGAAGAAGGACAGAGAGGAAGCTAAGAAAACACAGATGACGGAGGGACCGCTGACAGACAGCTGAGGGGAGACAAATGGAGGTGGAGGTGAAGGTGAAGCGTATCTGCCACCGCCACGCAATGAAGAGCGTGTGTGACCTTTTTGTGACCTCAAACGAGCAAGTGGTTGGAGCGCGGGTCTGGGTCTGTAGCGAGTGTGTGCGTGCATGCATGTGTGTGCACTGTGGCACGCCAGCCTCTGCATAACAGCATGGTGACTGTCCACACACACGTGCACACTTTCCTGTGTCCAATCAGTGCCAAGATGTCTTCGAATATGATGGGTTTGTGTTTATCTCACTTATTTGTTGAATTGTGGGGCGGAGAAAGCATATGTGTCTGTGCGTGCCATAGTGTCTCAAGCAAGATTCTTAATTGCTCTTACTCTGTGGTGTAATACTCAATCCGAGGTTCAGAAAGGGTGAGCTTTTCTTTTATAAAAGACTCCCATTAAAAAAAGAGCTGTTGTTTCCTTGAACGAAGCCTCGGCCACGAAAAAAGGCTTCATTACTGCCAGGGTCCATGATTCGACTTCTCTTTGTGTTCTGAAGCAGACGCTGTGACTGTACTTCCAGGAGAGAGTATTTTTAACCGGTGTGGCTGTACAGTAAACACCAGCCACCCTGTGTGTTCTCACTCCGACATTTAAACATGGCGGTCGACAGCAGACTCCCCGCCAAAATTCCCATTTGTGGTAGTGCTTCAGCTGCGACTTATGTTAACCTGGTCTGTCTTTTCTTTTTCTTTTTTTCAACCAGGGCATATTTCATGCCAGCTCTCATGTCGTTCTAAATGACAAATCGATGAGAGCTTAACAGCCGCTCGCAGTGCGTCTCAATTCAAATTCAAATCATGGGCCTTGCAGACGCTCAATAGCATCGGCATCCACCCTCAGGACGAGGACGTCTCCTCAAGATAAAGAGTCTGGTAGACTAGGACACACTCGCACCAGCTCTGTTGTCTTTGTTGTATGAGCTGTGTCTCGAGGGTGGAAGAGTGAGAAAGGACGGAGAGTGAGAGCGAGAGGGAGCGCCCTGACCGATGTGCTGAAAGAAAAAACCATCATAAATGCATTGCTGCAAACATTTCAGGGTTAAATATGTCTCTTTTAGATCATTCAGAATTTTGACCGCGGTTGTAATGGAGCTCAAAAACTAAACTGTTCATATGTGACAAATGTTTCCAATGCATATGAACAGATGAAAGCAGTACGTTCAAATGTTTGTACAAATCGCCTTAGGGATCTAAATATTAGAGTACATGGATGCTATAATTAAGTCTGTGGATGAATGTGTTTGTCATTTAATTCTAATTGTTCCCAATAGCATCTCATATAACTTGAATGAGAGGGAAGATATCACTTTTTTAGCCTCTGCGAGGCTTATTAGCTTCTTGGAAGGTTTGCAATCATTCATGAAAACTTTGCATGCGAACACGGATAGGAAAAATGAGAGGAACTGACAGTGGCAGGCCCACCCAGAGAAAGAGAAAAACAGAGCTTTGTTTACATTCTACTTGCTCGCTCAAATTCACTGGACCCCGACATCGTTCCCTGAGGCACTCCACCCCACTTTAGAACTCTGAACCACGATGCATCGAACAAGTAAAAATATGCAAAGACACATCCTGATTATTCTCCTCAATGTGCACAAAGAGACCCAAACGGATGTTTTTTGTTCTGAAAGTGACCGAGTGCGTCTGGCACTTGTCCATCCTTCCGGCAAACACTTGTATACTTATTCCTGAGGAACAACATTCCGTGATAACGTTTCCCTGACATGAGTCCAGCCAAAATAGCATCCTGAGCTGCATTTCTGAGATAAAGACTCGCTCACCATATACATACATGACTCTGTCCTGTTGACACAGGAGAGGGCACGTCAGTGTAGACTGACGACAGAGAAAGATAACCTTAGAATGTACAGGAGGTACTACGGCCTCCAACGGCCATACAACAGCCACTATGGTGAAAGTCTAAATGCTCACCTAATTTGCTCTGGGAAGCTGAAATAACCAAGTGTTCTTTACAATCGGAGCTTGATTCAGTAATTGGCTGTATTCTCAGGGTCAAGACAGAAACAGGCTGAGATCAGAAGAGCGAGCTCGCCACAGGTACAGCCACTTCTTCACATCAAACACTGTAAACACATTTCACTCAAATGAGAAACCAATCCGCACACTCACAGTTATTTAAGGATGACTAGAGATGGATCCGATAAACATCACGTCTTCCTCTGCCATGCTGTAGATCTATTCAAGAGGTGTGATGTAATTTTCAGTTCCACCACAAAAGGAACTCACTAAATGAGTCCCGGGGCTGTTTGATTTGGACACCAGCCAAAAACTCTTGATGCAAAAAATAATTCCATTATCAGTGAGGGCAGCGCCGACACTTCATTAGAACCCGGTCGACTCGGATGAGCTTTTCATTCCAGCTCGTCATTCCGTGACAACGGAGGCAGTGGCTGTCAGCCGAGAGGACAAGATGAATACCGAACATCTTACCTTGGGGGGGGGATCTCAGATTGATTGAGAGGGCAAACATTGCGATTTAAATTGAAGTTAATTAAGCTTATGAAGTAAAAAAGTCAAGTTAAATGCAGATGTCCACGGTCCAATTCACACAATGTTAAAAAAACAAAACAAAGCCCTGTTCTGGAAGGCCCAGCAGTATCCCCGACAACTCACCAATCAACCACCTCTGTACAGTTGGTTACACACAAAAGAAGACACAATGTGCCTATTAAGGTGTGCGTCGGCTGTGGAGTAGATCTCAGGATTTATTCATCAAACAATATATGCAGACTGGACTAATACAGCTTAAAATGAGCTGAAACTAATTCTGAATGCTGTCCGAAATAAGTCATCCAATTAACATTAAGTGTCCCTTCAAACAACACCTCTCATTCTATAAGTCAGGGAGGACTGCAGATCAAATGCATAGTTTGTTTTTCCTTCCTTTCCAGGATTGTCTTGGGCTTCCTGCCCTGCATTTGCTCAAAACAACATCAGGCCTGCTGTCTTATACCAAAGGAAAAACAAATCCCTTCTTCCTCTCCGCTTAGCACCCAACCCTTTTATTTATTTTTGCCCGCTCTTGCGTAGTGATCGTTCTGCTTGCACAGTTCGTGGGAAGTATGATGCTGATTCTTGCACTTCAGGCTTTGGCAAACACCACCTAGGTTAGGATTTGTCTACCCTCGGGCAAACAAGCCAACACATGCTGACTATGGTAAATGCATGGGGGCTTACTCCACCCTCTCTCCCCTTTTCAAAAAAGAGTTAAGCTCTTAAGGAACTACACAACACAATTAGACGGACTAATTACCCCCTCCGTACCCCCTCCATTCCTCACGCAGACCGACAGGCTGGGGCAGGAGTTCTGCCTACAAGTTACCAGAGGACGGCGACTTGTACATTTTGAGCAATTTCTGGGTGCTCTATTCTCAGGAAGGCCAGAGACAGTTTTATAGTCCAGTATTATAGTGCACAGTAAGAAGGGTAAAGGTGACACCCACAGCCCCCTGACGGCATTTCCATTATTTTGTGTTGATTCTTGTGCCTCCTGTGGATGAAAGTGGTACTGTTTCCGAGCAATATCGTCCGTTTAGAAAACCTATTGACACTGCAGCGGGGTCTGACAGTGTGCCATGTGCAGTCCTGCTTCTGGTTCTACCTACCGCTGGAGATCACACATCAGGTTAATAGGTGTGATCAAACAGAATGTGGGAATCCCAGTCCCTAGTGAACCCGCACGATTAACTGTGAGTAGGACCAGGTGACAACAATGGCAAGCATCTAATCTTCTCCCTGATGGTCTAGTTTTCTTCTGAGGTATCAGTGTTCAATTGAGACCGTTTAACAAACAGTTGAACACAGGTTGAGGAGCAGCGGGGGAGCCTGCATGAGGAGGATTCTTTGGGAAATAGGATGTGAGATGGAAGCTGACACAAGTCAAACCAGCATTCATCTTCTTTAAACCCAGATAAAACACAACTCTTAGGAAACCTTTTAAAGGGCGCAGCAGGAGGGTTGAAAGAACGTGGTTGTGTTTACAAGCTGAACGTCAAGCTGAAGCTGCCAGTTCAGCAGCAGGTTAATGATGAATGGAGTCACCCTGCAGGGCGTTTGGACCTGGCCACGGACACACTGGAAGAGTTTAGAGGGCTGACATGCTCTTTGATCCTCCTGCCCACATTTCCTCTGGGTCACAAGGAAAGTCAGCAGCTTTGTGGTCTGACAGTTGTGGATGGGGGGCGGGCCGAGGCACCGCTGAAACTATTTGGCGGGGACTTTTGAAAACTCCTTCTTCCTCAGGACGGGGCCGAGCCCTCCTTCTCCGTGTCAGCCTGCGAAAGCGAGCCAAACCCTCCCGCAAGACGGAAAGGACTCTGGCAGTTCCTCTGTTTAGTTTAGTTAACCACTAAACGATCTCTGCGTGTCTATTAAGCCACATGTAACATTTTATTATGAATATGCTAGGGGAGCAAAGGGGGAAGTGATCTATCTGAAATATTACCCGGCGTGGAAGACACATTGAAGAAAACGGATTGCCTGTAGCTTAGTTTCCCTTCCTATGGAAGAGCAGACGCAGGTCACTTCCAAGGTAGGGATCTGTATAGTTTGGACTGAATACTAACAAACAAAAAACACACAATTACACACACTGATCAATAAATGATTTGCAGACTAGGTGGGCAGCCAAATGAGATAATGCACTGAAAGCGATGCATTAGTCATCTGGTTTCCCCTCAGTTGGTGACCGACAACCAACTACATCATCCCACCAGTACACATGAGTCACCACTTCGTGTGAGCCTGAGCTCTGCTCCAGAGCTACACCTGCTCCAGCAAAAGAGAGAGAGAGAGACACCTGCGTGAGCGACACCACCCTACATGCGGAGCCATCACTACTGACCTTGCAGATCTTGCTCTCCTCCGTGTCTGCTCTGGACTTCCCCTCAGGTGTCCTCTGGTACCCGGACTTGATGGACAGCTGGCAGGAGAGCCCAGCCCCGAGCTCCTGCTGCCGGGCGGCGTAGCCCTGCGAGGCGGCCGACCTGACCGCGCTGGGGATGGGGAGCGCGGGGTGCACCGGCTTACCGCCCACCACGGAGGGCTGCCTAAGCTTGGAGGCGACGCCAACCACCGGCATGGTGCGTTCCCCCGGGGGCACGGAAATAAGAACGCAGGGGTGGGTACGGAAAAGTAGGGAAGGGCAGACAGTTCTGTGGTGACCCCGTCTGATGTCTAGCACAGGAGGGGCAGGAACAAGAAGGAGAAGAAAAAACAGCAGTCTCCTCTCGGATTGAGAGGAGAGCAACTGAGCTTATTCTGTAGCCTACAGTGAGCAAAAAGTGAGAGAGCTTCTCCTCCCTCCAGTTCACTCCCTCCTCCTTCTCCTCCCACAAGCAGCACTCCTCCCTCCCTTTCCTTCTCTCTTTCAAACTACCACAAAGTCAGCCAAAAGCACCAAGGGGGCGTGAACTCCTCTGGAAGGTAGAACGCCACGGCCCTGATGGCTCAGACCGGAGCGTGTCTATCTCTCTCCCCCCTCTCCCTATCTCGTCTTAGTTTTCTTTTCATCTCATGAGAGAAACAGTGGCAATGTGAGGTGGGGGGAAAATTAAGAACCCCCCCCCCCCCAAAAAAAAAACCTGAAACGTTTGAGTGGTTTAATTAAGAAAAAATCCTGGAATTCCAGCGCAAACAGCTGATGGAAAGTCTTTGTGAGAAGGAAGTGGAGGGAAAAAAAAGTAAATCCGGTAGGAGATCGCGAGTTGCTCAACTGGTTTCTACTGCTGAGCGTTATTTGTAGTGGCTGCACTCGGTCTCTCTCACACCAACTCTCCCTCCATTCTTCCAAAATGGAAACAGGGAATGAAAATATCCTCTTAAACATCCATTTTGGTTCAGTATGCAGAATGGTGAATCATTTACTCTTCAGGAGGTGGCAGAAGTCTAAAAAGTCTAAAAGGAAAGTGACTCACTGTCACTTCACGCTCACAAGAAATACTGTGTACATTTTGGGAAAAGAGAAAAGTGACAGAAGGGTCTATGATTAGATGAGACTATGAGACTATATTAGACTACAATATGATATAATAGGATTCATCAGTGAAAACCGGTTCCAAAGACGAAGACCAGATAACACCTACAGATCTCAGTGTTAGTGAACCATCTGATCACCTGGTGAAGAAGAAGCGCACCTGGTAGATGCGAAATCTTGTCCCTGAAAGAGCATCCCTCTTGACACATTTCAAAATACTTATATCGATCACCCGATAACTACTGCAAGATAAGCCCACAAGTTAGTGCAAAAAAACCCATCTTGTGATAGCCTCTCTGGAAAGGGGAAAAGCTAAAAATATGGGTTTAATGCGCAAGGTAATTATATCCCCAAGCCTACTCTGCGTTATATATATATGTGTGTTATCATGCTGAATGTATCTTTTTATGTCGTCTTGTTTATCCGCCACTCCTTGTAGGCCGGTCAGCAAAATATGAACATATGACACAAAACTTGTCCGTGAGGCAAAAAACGTTGGGGACCACTGCTGCTCTGACTTCATTGTGTTGGTCAGAATGTGTTTGGTGGTCAAGTAGATCACAACTGTCTGAATGCTTGGATAAAGGCATGCTCAGAACTACAAGTTGATATATTCTTAATGGTTGGTCAAAGTATATGAAAGATCTTGATTGAACCAAAGTAGAAATAGTGAAGCGAGAGGAAAGTTACAACAGAGTTACAACTACTGGCCACAAAACTGTGGGCCTGTGAGGCTGTTCTTTTTCAGAACAACCACCAGAGGCTGCATTGGTGTCCAATGCACATCACTGATGTGGAGAGCAGGAGGCTGACAGGATCCTTCACAAACATCAGAACCACAACTTTTAGACATCATGAATATCAAGCCTATTGCGGCTTTTTTATTTGGGAATTTCTCAGTTGGTTTCAGCAAGACAAAAAGTAGAGAGTTAATGCGTGCAGATAGAAATGTGCGAGTGAGGATGTGTTCAAAGACCACAGCTGTACAATGCTATTGGAAACTACATATTTTCTATCGAACACTTTGTTGGTTAGTAAGAGACAGATGAGACATACCGCATTTGGACTGAATTAACCGGACACAGTATTAGATGTAGCAGCCCCTTTCCTCCCCCCTTCTTTTACATAAAAGGGAGTGAGTTTTAAAGTTTTATATCGAAGGGTCCCATCTGGTTCAGGTTAGGGATGTGCTGGAGTCAGAGGGGGACATTGCAGTGTCACGGCAAACCGGAACTTTTTAACACGGCATTGTCTAATAAAAAGGGGAAAGTCAAAAGCAAAAAACCCTGGGGTTTCAGCTTCAGCGTTACTCCCTTCATGAGGCCTACTGTGTCACCCCTTCTGGCTTTGCAGCAGAGTTTGACTTACACTAAAAGCTCAGCCTAATAAGTTCTTCTGAGAAATCAGTTGAGTGGGACATGATTCCTTTACACGCCGCTGCTTCCTCCTCTACTCTCTTTTATACTGCCTCAATGCCTCTGACAGTCAATTGCCTTAATAGGCACGCTGCCTCCCCCGGACCCAGAATAGCTGCTCCAGCATGTTTTCAATCACGCACCAGGAGCTATCATGACTGGCCTAAAACAACAGGATACCACGTGAATAAATTGGCGCGAGTCCATCCTCGACTCCTGCTGCCTGCCGAGCCGCACGAACCCCAGCGCCATTTGGCGAGGGTCCAACCTCCGACGAGAGTCGCTGCCCACGGGGTCCGCAGGGACCAAACAGCTCACCGTTGAACCTCAGAGCGGGCTCAAGAAGAAAACCCTCTCGCTTCCAAATGTCCGGTCATCTTAAGCTCTGATATCTGCCGGTGATGATGCCTCTGCTGAAAAGCTCTTTGATTAATATTTCAGAATATTTTGCAGCCAGATTGCAAAGCCATCAGTGGCGGTTCAGTCAAGACCACCTTGTCGAGTCCAGATCGAAACGGAGTATGCAAGACATGTAACACACCACGGCAAACTAAACCTAAAGGAAACCCTGCTGTTAAAATCTTAAATTAAAAACTATGAAATGTGTAACAACATATAGCTCAACCCGAGCATTTCAACCTGAAGGTAACGTCTGATCATCCTTGTTTTGGCACAAACATGAAAAGACCGCAACTAAAATGAAAGCTCCTGTGTCTATTCCTGTTACAGCTGCGCAGCAAAGTTTCCCTGTGTTTCCGGATAAACCACCACTAAACATGTGGAGGAGAGGCAGTGCTGTCCAGCCGAGTGGAGGCAGAAGGTGGAGGTGGCATTTGGGGAGGGAGGGATGGAAGCCGGGGGTTGACACACTTGTTAAGGGCTCCACTTATGAGATGATAATGCACTGCAGAAGGTGGCCGAGTACACCTGTACACACCAGGGGTCATTTTGATATGTGTTTTGAACCGTTGTCATGAGTACTCAAACAGAGCCGTTTATGTAATAAAGTACTGTTATAACAATCGCAACAGAGCTTGTTTTATTGGTGACCCCCCCCCCCCAGTATAAGACTGTCTTGACCAAAGGAAGTCTCACTCCACGAGGACCCACACTATGGTGTCGACTCATCGATGAGTTGATTTAATTGACAGATAAGTAGTGTCCACCTAGTTGACTTTAGTGATGCTCGTGTTCTGCGGTTTGGATGGAAAACAAAACATGTTTCCTCAGTTAGAATGGAACCATTAATGTCATTTGTTTATTATCTGTTCCAGGCGGTAGGATGCTTGGTAACCTGCACCGCTATGTGTTTGTGTGTGTGTGTGTTTGGTTTATGTGAAAGATACCACCTAGGGTCACATGACGTCAGCACTGAGGTTGTGTTGTAGCTGTGAAAACAAACACACTGGGGTGCTGGAGATAAGAGAGGGTCAAACACCTTCCGTACACACACACACACACTAAATCTAGACCCCCCTAGATAGTCACGCACCCGTCAGCGCTCTGAATGCTATCAGTCAACCGCACGTCAGGCAACATGGAAAACAAACACGCGCTCGCGCTGACACACACACACAACAAAGAGGTGCGGCATCCTTTGGAGGCGTGCGCGGCGGCTCTGTGAGCTCAGGCATGTGCCATTACCGTACGTCAAGCGGGACCCGGGCCGACATAAACATGCACTCACTTTCATCCTCAACTTGGCTCAGAATCTACAGATAGATTCCGGCCCCTCAGTCAACCTTTCACTTCTCTGCGCTCAATCACCCATGCCAACAACACACATTCACCCCAAACACACCGGGCCGCCCCATGATCAGTTCACCTAGGAAAAGACTAGGCTCATCTGCTTTAGGTAAGGGGCAACCTACTGCCCACTTTGACCTCAAGTGTCCCAGGGCAGTGAAATCAAGGCCGGTGATCACTTTAAAGTACAAATATTTGTTGCAAAATGTACCTGGAGTATCGAAAGTTTACATTGTCATTCAGAAAAACATGTCTTACATTTCCTGATGAATCAGATGAAACTAGTGAGTGTAAACTAACGGAGTTGGAGTGGTAGTGATAATTGATAACACCATTCCAAATGGCTGTAACACAAAGCTCAACATTCACAGTTCCTCCATCATGTATTCATGGCTTCTATCTGCTTTGTCTCTCTGGATTATTCCCACATCCACTTACTCAGTCATTGGTAAACGTATGTTGCCTTTGGTATTGTTACTCTCTAAAGTATTTCAGCACTTATTTCCCCGCCGAACCTTTTTCCAACTCCCTCACTTTCCACTGCAATAGCTCCCTATCATTTGATATTTTCCCTATTGTGTCGCTCCATCTAGCTCTTTTTGATAGCAAAGTCGCCCGGCTCGTGTTCCAGGTGAAAGTAATGCGCTACTTCTGGGCTCGGAACTTGGATCAAGAATCATAGCAAGAATGTTGGGGAGTGTCGAGAGTCGTTTAGATTTCCATCCCATTGTGTCGGAGGAGTAAAAAAACAAAAACACTTCATTCCTGTTCTATGACAGGAGGATGAAATGATATAGAAGAGAAATGAGGGACGACATGGCGGTGGCAGTACACCATTTTCACCGCAGCTTGCACGCGGCGTGATGCTTGGAACATCTCTCCAGTTCATCAGTGACATGTTTTCAAATTACAGAGAGAGGATCTACCGTACAGGGAGCAGTTCGAGGATCACGTTTTAAGCAGCTCCTACAGCCAGCTCACCTCTCCATCACGATACATCACTTTATAGTCTCTGCCGTCAGAGCTTTCTTCTCCTGCACTTTTACACTTGACAAAAACTC